ACGTAGATCGGACAAGATGTGTAACACTGGCTTTATCCACTGCTCACATTTCTAATCTTGAAATTAATGCGGATTTGCACATTTTCTAACAAGATAATAGCCTTCTTCATTTGCATATCAAACATAAAATGTCATAAAAGGTTTCATGATGATATCTCGTCTTCTTGTTTTCACCCTGTTCCCCTGCAGGCTTGTTGTGCTGCACCCACTCATTGTCATCACATTTTCTTACTTATTTATATCTGCCAGACATTTTGTTAAGATTTTCTTTTGCCATTTAATTGATATTTGCAAATAAATTGTAATATTTTCCTATTTATAAAACAAACAAATAAATAAATGAATGAATGAATGAATGAATGAATGAATGAATGAATGAATGAATGAATGAATGAATAGTATTTTAACTGGCCTGGCAACGCCTCGGGGTCCCCGGAACAGCTAGAAGAGGTGTGTGCGGATCGGGAAGTCTGGGCGGCTTTGCTAAGGCTGCTGCCTCCGCGACCCGACTCCGGATCAAGCAGAAGAAGATGGATGGATGGATGGATGGATGGATAGATGGACGGATGGATGGATGGATGGGTGGATGGGTGGATGGGTGGGTGGACATTCAATAGCTATTTTGGAACATCTTTGGGCTATTTTAATAACTTTTTTAATGTTTCACTATGAATGAGAATAAATAATAATAACAATGTTAACGATGATAAATCAAAAATGTTTTTTTATGTCTTGTTCTGGAAGAATAAGACATTTCCAGTGTTTTGTTTTTTGGTAACACCTAATTCAAGTTTAAAGGAGAACTGCGGAATCATTGTGAGTGACTCTTTGTTTCTCGCCGGCGTGTTTTTGTGGACGGACCACTGTCGCCCTACAGCCAGATAGCAGCTTGACAGGTAACTGTCGGACAGATGTTGTGAGCGGCGCTTAAAACGCTTCTTACGGTTCGGTTCGTGTGTTTCCGGCATGTTGTTGACGGTTCGGTGTGAATGTGAAAATGACGGTTGTTGTTTCTTCCGGTAAACGTTTGTGTGACGGCTAGCTGCTAGCTAGCGTTAGCCGCTTCGCTTCCTGATCCAGGCTAACTGCAGTTAGCTCAGCTGTACTGATTGACTGGCCGAATGAAGCAGCTGCTCTGTTGAACTGCAGCTCAGCTTCAGTCTGTTTTATTCATTGACTCACGTTTGTTTGATGCCGTTCACACAGATTAGCCGAGAACAGCTGCTAGCTGCTAGCTGTGGATGTCTGTGTTTACAGGAGAAGCTAACGTCCAGCAGCCGAACACAGAAAGGACTGAATGAGAAACAGTGAAATGAAGCAGATCAGCAGAGTTCAGACAGCATGAAGTTAAAGGACAGCAGCAGAGAGGCCCATCCAGTCCCACAGCCTCCTAGGAACAGTAAAAATAGCATCATAACAATGATGGAAATATAATAATCTGTGTGTGTCTCTGTCCAGGTGATGGAGTTTGCGGAGCTGATAAAGACGCCCCGGGTGGACGGCGTGGTCCTGCACCGGCCCTTCCTGCCCACCGTGGAGGGGACACTGTGTCTGACGGGCCACCACCTGATCCTGTCGTCCAGACAGGACAACACCGAGGAGCTGTGGCTGCTGCACTCCAACATCGACTCCATCGAGAAGAGGTAATCTGATTACTGCTGGCAGCTTCAGTCTGCTGTCGCCGTTGGTCCCTTCAAACATTTCAGGCAGTTTCTCAAACTGACATTTTTGCACCTTTCACCAAAGAAACAAACACAACCACAAAATCGGAAGTTCCACAAATATTCCTTTTTCTCTTTAAACACCTCAAAATGCAAATCAGATATTCAGCATTCACAGGGTTCTGACTAACATGAGTTTGGTCGTTAACAAGCCTGAGAGCAGCGACTCACTCTGGCACAGTGTCGAGAAGAAAGTTAGTTTTATAGACAGAATCAGAATCAAATAGACTGAAGGATTTCTTTTCAATAAGACAAATGGTATAGAGGTGTTAGCTGTACCTTGACATGTTTCAGCGTCTTCCTGTCGCCTTCTTCAGAAGCATCATCTGACGTGTGTGACGTGTCTTCATCAGCTGTTGTTCCTGGCTGTGGCCAATCTGACAGATCCAGTGGGCGTGTCAGTTTGGCCACACCTACTGCACAAACTGCAGCTACCCGAAGTGGGCCATAGAAAAAGGCAAGCAACAAGTGCTTCACAAACAGGACAAACAGCGCAAGAAAAAGACCAAACAAGCAAAACAGGAAGAAAAAGAAATAGTCACTTTGCCTTACATCCGCGGAGTCACAGAACCAGTCCAAAGAGCCATGAGGAAACAGAACATCCACACGGTGTCAAACCAGACACAAAACTAAGGCAGCTTCTGGTACATCCCAAGGACAAAATCCAGCCGGACAATAAATGCAGCGTAATATAGGAAATCCCCTGTAGAACCTGCAACAAATGGTACGTGGGCGAAACGGGACGGGCCTTCAGCGTGAGGAGGACAGAACACCAGAAAGAGTGTGCAAAAGAAACCACAGGACGTCTCACAAGATCGGAAAAAACAAAAGCCAACCAGGAAAATCTCAAATCTGCCATCTCAGATCACTGCAAACCACAGACTGTATAAAAGATGGACGTAGCAACCGGCCCTGAAACATAAAGCCAACCCGGAAGTGTCAGAAACCTGCAGCATCACTACGTCCACTAGCTGCTGGCTCCACAAAGCCCTGGCTCCCATAGACTGGAACTGGAAAAGAAGTGATCACAGATCACCAAATACTGCATTCCTACAGCTCAGGATTGTTTTCTTATTAGTTTTCATGGTCAGATCCAGAGATCAGGTGGCCAATCTGAAAATAAATCAATACTGAATTTTAAATAAATCATCAACATGTTGCGGGCCAAGGGGCGTGGCTGGCTTGATTGACAGTCGGCAGCGACCATACAGACGAAGCGAGCAGAAGGCGGTTAATGTGGGCGGGGCAGAGAGGGCCCGCCTCTCAATCCGTCTGACCAATCGCTGCTCCTATGGCTCCGCCCCCCTCCCACGATTTTTGCGTCACTGGCTCCAAAAATCCAAGATGTCAACCAGGAAGTAACAAAACCCTGGCTTCATGTTCTCAGTGCAGAAACCAACGGGTGACGTCATGCAGCTACGTCCATCTGTTATACAGTCTGTGCTGCAAACGGGAGGATCACGTGATGAACTGGGAGGACGCGAGGATCATAGGGACTGAGGAGCACAGGTACAGGTGCTGGATCCGGGAGGCGACTGAAACCAGGAAGTGAGGCTCACATACAATCAACAGAGATGATGGAGCGTTCCTCGAAACATGTCAAGGTGCAGCTAACAACTCTGTACCATTTGTCTTATGAAAAAGAAATCCTTCAGTCTATTTGTCTATTGAAGACAAAACGAACATCTTTGCTTGATAATCAGAATCTAATCAGATCATCCTTCACAGTGGAGCTACAGTCTAATTACACGTTTTCCAGAGCAGTGGGCTGATGATCAACACTTTATCTCTGTAACCTGTTCCTGTCTGTCCCTGTTCACTATTAAACGTGTAAACGAGGTGCTGTGTAAATAAAGTATCTCTACAGAAACCAGCAGGACGTCGCTTTAGCCAAAACATCTTGAGGTTTTATTCTCCAGATCTGAGCGCTCATCTTCTGCTCAGACACTTCATGAATTCTCAGTTTTGCTGCTTGGAGGAACTGAAGCAGGAAGTTTGTGTCTCGCTGTGAACTTCCTCCAGGAACAGTTTGTGTTTTGTTGTGTGAAGGTGAAACTGAAGCTGGAGCTCTGAGCAGGTCGGCTGTAAAACGTTGGCACGTCTCTGAGGGGAAAAGGAGCTGCTGGAAGGAAGCGCTTTCCTTCGTTCACCGTCTGTCAGACTCCCAGCGTTCGTAGGAAACATCGTACTTAAAAGAATTTAAACTCTTTTTCAACCATTCATGGCATCATGACACATGTTTAACCAGCAGCGGCTGTGTTGACAGAAATACAATCAGCTTTAATCTGACAAGGAACCGCTGCCGACACAAACCTTCACTCACTGACGCTCTGCTTCATCCAAAGCTCACACATCTGTTCTAGAAATAATGTCAATGGGTACGTTTTTAGATATTTGATGCCTCATCTACATATTTAAATGTGACACAAAGCGCTGTCTTCATGTCAGTCATGAGAAGTTTCATGATGTCTGTTCGTCCAAATGGAATTTTCCAATTTAAAAAAATGTCCAAAAAATTAACCAAAGCATTTCTTTAAAAATGTCTTTTCTTCTTATTCTGGATTTTTACGATATTTTGAACATTTTGTCAAACTCTTTGGATATTTTATTCTTTTTTTTCTTAAATTTGTTGAATATTTTATTTCTTTTACATTTTTGTCACGAATGTTAAGATTTTTTGATTATTTAGTCTTTTTCCATTTGATTAATCATTTCAGAAATATTTTATTCATTTTCTAAGATGAATTGAAGCATTTTGACATGTTTCTGTGTGTTTGTCTTCCTCCTGTTCGTCCTGTACGTCTCATTGGTCAGCAGCTCTTCATCCACCAAACATATTCTGAAGGTTTTTACTGAGAGGCTTGTTCGTCTATCATTCATACAACATTTTTATTCTTAAATACATTCTATTTTCTGATTCATGGAGCGATGAAAAGAGAAACCATTTGACTCTCATGCGTCGTCAAAATAAAACAATAGTTGCCTCGGACCTTTTCTCACCTTTTAAAATCAACCTTGCCTTCGTCTTTCAGGTTCGTGGGCTCTTTGGGAAGCATCATCGTGAAATGCAAAGACCTGAGAGTGATCCAGCTGGACATCCCTGGAATGGACGAGTGTCTGAACATCGCCAGCTCCATAGAGGTCAAAGCCAGCGCTCCAGATCTGCATCATGACCCATAGAGCTGCTGAATGATGTTCTCTGATGGTTGTTATTGGTGTTCAACGTGTTGCTCTGCAGGCCCTGTCCACGCTGGACTCCCTCTCCCTGATGTACCCGTTCTTCTACCGGCCCATGTTCGAGGTCATCGAGGACGGATGGAACTCATTCCTTCCTCAGGACGCCTTCAGAGATCTGGAGTCGATGGTAGGGACCCGACTGTCCGTGGTTCTGTGGAGGAAGTTGTTCGTTTAACTCTCTGAGCTCCACCCGGTGTCCTGGCTCGATTGTGCTCATTAATACGTGTCTGGCTTCATCCATTTGGATGATGATAAAGATTCATCTCCAGTCTGCAGTCACTCTTCAGCCCTCTGAGCTTCGTGTTCCTTCACTGAGGTTCATGTTTCTTGTTCGTACAAACTGTGAGCTTTTGCTGGATTTCAGGTGACTGTCACGTGGAAGACCTGATGGTTGTTTCTGTTCTTGCAGTTTCTTGCTCTGATTTTTTTGCCTTTCAAGCTGCAGGTTTTGCAGCTCGGAGGTTTAACTGTGAGTCTCTGTCTCTTCTTCCCTCCCAGACAGACGAGTGGAGGCTGAGCGAAGCCAACAAGGACTTCAGTGTTTGTCCGTCGTACCCTCCTCTGGTCGCCGTGCCTAAAGACGTGGACGACGACACGCTGAGGAAAGTCGCAACCTTCCGCCACGGCGGCCGATTCCCGGTGCTGAGCTACTATCACAAGAAGAACGGGATGGTGAAGAAACACAAGTTCTTTCTGTCGGTGACACAATCAGAGTTTAGCTCGTTAGTGAAACTCTGTCTTCCTGCCAGGTGATGATGCGAGCAGGACAGCCGCTGACAGGAACTAACGGACGGCGCTGCAAAGAGGACGAGAAGCTGATCAACGCCACTCTGCGTCCAGGAAAACGAGGATACATCATCGACACCCGAACCATCAACGTGGCTCAGCAGGCCAAAGCTCGAGGAGGAGGCTTCGAGTCCGAGGCCAACTACCCCCAGTGGAGGAGGATCCACAAGGCTTTAGAGAGGTCCGAGCTGAGCTTCAGTTTCATTGGTCTGGTTCAGAAGCTAGATGGAAAAATCTGAAGCGGGTTTAAAGGCACAAAGTGACTCCAGTTATCAGCTGGAAACTATAAAAACAGAAAGAATCAGCAGCTTTTTAAACTTTACACTGACACTGGAGCAGCGTAGAGATCTCATAGTCCATCAGAACCACTTCATCCTACGTGTTAGGGTTAGGAACATCTTTCTACTGATGGTGGAACATCTTTCTACTGATGGTGGAACATCTTTCTACTGATGGTGGAACATCTTTCTAC